TTTTTTTTTTTTTTTTTTTTTGTGTGTGTGTGTGTGTGTGTGTGCGTTTTCCTTTTTTTTTTTAAATAAAGAACCAATTCAATTACCTGTCAAATCTGGACAGATGTGTGTGTGCGTTTTGAATGTTCGATATACACAGAGCTGCCCGGTAATTGAACCGTAGGCAGAGAGGGAGGGAGGGAGGGAGAAGAGGACAACACACGAGGAATATCAGAGCGCAAAAACGAAAAAAGAAGAAATAAATTCCTTTTTTATCTTCTTCCGTACAAGACTCCCCCTGTTCAAAACCTCTTGCGTACAAGGCCGCCCACGTGGATGTAGGTTGAGCGGCGGCTGCCCCCACCCCCGTGTGTCATATCGACCCACTTGCACACAGCCAAAAGGCGAAGAGGCAAAGAAAAGAGGAAGGGAACAGCCAAACATTATATATGTATATAGAGTATTAAATACACAGATATGGCCTTGTACGTAAGAGGTGGTGAACAGGTGGAGCTTTCCTTCCTTCCTTCCTTCATTCCTTCTTTCCTTTCTTATTTTGTCCTTTTTCGCCTTAATGTTTGCGCTCCACAAAATAAAAAAGGAAAGAAGGAAAGAAGGAAGGAAGGAAGGAAGGAAAGCCCCACCTGTTCACCACCTCTTACGTACAAGGCCAGCCACGTGGATGACAAGTTGAGTGCCGTCTGCCCCCATCCATCCCCGTGTGTCACAAGGACCCACTTGCACGCAACCAAAAGGCTAAAAAGAGGTACTAAAGAAAAGGAGGAGGAGGTAACCAAACCTGACAAGGAAAGAAAGTGTATCAGTCAAACAAAGCAAATTGACACATCCCACAGATAAACCAATTGTCACAAAGCAAATAACACATCCCACAGATCAACATATTTTTTTCTTTTTCCTAATTTTCTTTTTTTCTTTTTTCTTCTTTTTTTCTTCAACTGTTCCCACCTCGGCAGATAGGACAGCTACCGTAACGGTGAGGATGATGTGGATGTTCACAAGGATACCCAAGGAGAGTTGCGCCAGCGCTACACAGCATTCAGCCGGACGGCTGGCACGAACCATCCCATCAAAACCGTCCTGCTGACAGAGGACATCATGATGTTGTCCACATGTGTCAAAAAAAAGACAGCAGGACGTTCATCACAGTGCGGCATCATGCGGTTCTGATAGCGTCCTTGGGAACAAAAGGGACAACGTATATCTGGATGATAGGTAGGGATGTGTACAATGAGGAAATCTTGGACACCCTTCAGCACAGACAGCGGTAGTCGCAATAGATTGATAATGGTGATGGCATAGATGATGAATGCCACAACCAAGACGCACCGCGTCTCTGCCCCGACAGGTGTCACACGAGAGGCGGTCAATAATCCAGAATAAACTTAATAAAGTATGATTCGCCAATGCACCCAAAAACTCGTTTACGTTGGAAATAGCCTGAATCTGGACGCTTTTGCGGATGAGTGCCCACCATCCCACAGTTCCCACTGGGCAGCTACACGAATGAATGAGTGCCATATATATCATTCAAACAGAGCTGCCTACGGTAATTGAACCGTAGACAGAGAGGGAGGGAGGGAGGGAGGGAGGGAGGGAGGGAGAAGAGGACAACAAACGAGGGAGGGAGGGGCTGTGACAAACTGTTTCGTCGGAGTTTCAGCGGGCTCATCAGGAGGATGAACCCTACATGTATTACTGTAAATATAATTGGGGTCAACGCTATCTAATAGATAACACAGCGGCGATGATCGTACACATTCTATTCGGGTACAAAAGCTGGTAGCACCGGAATTGCCCAAAAAAAAAAAAAAAAAAAAAAAGTCTTCATT